CACTTTCCCCGGCTTGAGCGCGCGTCGTGATATTGACACTTGTGTATAATAGCTTCCACCCGCAGAGGTTCAGGATTTCCGAACCTTGGCGTTTTGTTGACGAGAGTCCAACAGTGTCGATTTGGTTCTTCATGGCCTCATCAACTAACTCGTGTTCTTTCCCTTTTAGGGAGAATATATTGTAATTTACCAGGTAAAGTTCCCATCTGCGGTGTGGTTCTTAAGGAGCCATTCCTGACGTGCTATTGTGGCATCTCGCTGTCTGTCTCCGTTCAAAGCGAGTAGCGACTCCGTTGTTGACTGGTTTCTTCGTCGTTGTTCCGTTGATCTTCGTCAGCCGTTGTGCTGCTATGCCCCACCTAGCAGAGGGCGATGAGCAAGTTCTGATGGCCGGCTTTTCGAAGTTTGCGTCAGTCGCTCGACAGGTTTCTCGGGTCTTGGTAACCCGGTCGACCACCGAGCCGGTGTAGTTTTCGATGAAGTTGATACCACGAAGGGTAGAAATTTTACGGAGACTTCGCCACGGTTTCCAACCCTCTTCCTCTCTCAACCGGGCTTGGGATTGACAACGGCGGAGTTGATAGCAATGATGCGATCTATAATGATTTACGTTTAACACTGCCAGTGGATTCTACTCTTACATTAACTGCATCCTGAACATTGAAAATACCGTGTCGATTGCGATGCGAATGGTTTCTGCTATCTGCTTCTGTCATTGGTCAAGTGCGATGTGCTTCAATTTGACCATGTGGTAAATATGCCGCAAGACATTTGAACCATCCGGACAGATAGATGCTGCGTGTTCGGTGTAAGAGTTTGGTAATGTTTTAGTTTTTTAAACTTGTTATTATATTGCCCTATACCTATGTTTCACGGCTACCGTATGCGCATTAACCGGTTTGATGGTACAATTTATATAGTGCTTAGTACAACATAGATACAAAGTTATAAAAGAAGAACGACGGCATGTTCATAATTCATTATCATTGTGACTTTGCTAGATCCTCATCTAGTGTAAGTATATTCATGCCAACTTCAGATTATACTAATGGCATAGGTTCAGAAACATCATAAAACGGTTTTATTTTATACAGCGTAAATAGGTGGTTAATCAGGCATTTGACCGATACATATCAAGCGTTACATATTTCAATATGGTTTCAACTCTTGTAGATAAAAGATATTGCGAATGCAGCAGTGGTCGATATTTCGAGAATCCGAATTTAATTAAGAAGTGAAAGATAACATTCGTTTTTAATTTAACGGATTTTACACGACGTAGGCGTATCGTCATTTCATTGGTCTAGCAGACGACTTCAACAAGCCACAGCTCCATTTTAGTTTAGCACCTGCAGTGTGCGGATGCACAATCGCATGATTAAACAGGGCCGAACAAAATTTTGTTCATAAACCTGCGGGGATATATTTATTCGTAGGCTTATTTCTACACAAAATGAAACGCCCATATTCGTTTACTAGCATACTGTTAGTCTTCGATTCCTCGATAATAAAATAGCATTCGCCGTTAATCCTCCGGATTTACACGGCATAGGTACCGTGAATACGAAAGATAACTTATATTAGTTAAATACAGATTAGTAAAACTGTAAACCTATCGTTTAAATCCATTACCTGTATATCAACTAAAATGGAATCTTTTTATGGAAGACTTGATATTTCGAGCATCTGAGTAACAAGATCGAAGTAACTTCCTTTCTTTTGACTAATTCCATGAGTATAATTTTGTGTCGAGAGGTAAATGAATTCGTTTGCTCATGTCAAAATTGTTTATGAATTCGCCCATTTTATGTCCAGGCGCATCGCTAATATCCCTGTTCCCGGTAGGATTCCGTAAGAGTGATTACTAGGATTGATTCTGTAAGAGTGCAGAGCAGCGTCTGAGCTATTTTAGTTTCGATATTAATGTTTTAACTTTTGACAGGTTTATTACCGTGGCGTTGTGTAGTTCTTACCGCCACTTCTTTGAAATGAAGTACATCTTAATCTTAACTGGACTTGATATTTGCAAAGTCACATTTCGTTGATGATGAAAGTATTACAGGCGAAACTGCCGCATGTCCACGAGTGTCGAAATTCAGTTAAAATTCCATCCGTTATCATGAGCTACGATGGCAGACATCTTAAAATGTTGCTTAACGATTAGATGTCGTTCAGAACAATATATTGTTACCTATGTACCCTCAAACGAGATTGTCATCGCATTCTTCGCTTTCCGCATAATGAGCAACTGATGTGCTTAATTTCCGATCATCTCAGTAGTTAAATAAGTTTGCGTGTTGTAAAAATGGAGTACATTTTGTAGGTGCATGGGAATACGCGTTTCCAAATAGCTTCCACTACTTGTTTGTGTAATCTGATACGGAAAGAAGATCAAGGTTAGATGCTTCTCTTCTGATGTTTAATCAAGTTTGGCTACCGTTTTTGTTTTCCTCTACAGGTTTTCTGGAACGTCAGATTCGTCTTGAAGATCTCGGATTGCAAAAGATTCTACAGCAGCTTCTGACAACGAACGACTCCTTTTTGTTCGAAAAGTAAAGTTGATATCGGTTTCATTAGGTAAACGCTTCTGATCGAATATTTAAGGGTTAAAACCGCCTTACAAGAACTGAACTGAGGGTGTGCATCAGTCTGCCTTCGCCGTATTTCGATGTCTGTCTGGCGCTCTTTCAAATATCATATTTGGTTTCAGCTTCTGTATCTTTAACTTTACGAAGTCGGTATTACCGCTGGGGTTTTTGAACTGTTTGTGCGTTTACTACTATTTATTGACATGCAACTGTTGCTATTTGTTCATGTTTGTTATCTCATTTATGTCCGTTAAATAATGTTAGGCAGGAGGTATTAGAAAATGAAGGTTAATCATTTCTACTGCGCTATTTTAAAATTAATAAGGTGATTGATTTTCATGACTTTCGCCCAATAAATCAGACTTTTGAATGCAGATTGTTGCCCATATTTCTTGGCTTTCTCTTTATTTCAAACTAGAAATGCCAAGATATAGCCTGAATACAGCATGAGCTACTACTATGAAACCTTCTCCTAACAAGCTGCTTCATTACAAGCAACTACAACGAAATGTCTTCTTGATCTTGGCAAAACACTGTATAATTCAACACATTCTAAGACTCCATTAAGTTACTAAAGAAAAGTTCGTTAGTTAGCAAGAAGTTCGCTTTCACTTTTGTCGGCGGGAATAACCATTATGGCCTTATAAAGTGTCCCTCAAACATCTACAAACAAAGTAACGGCATAGCCATGAGGCATAAACTGGGCGAACGACGAGTACTGACAGTTTTCGTTTGCACTGGATGAAATTTGAATGAAACCGTTTTTTTCAATACACTGAATTTCACGTTATGTTTACCGATACTTTTGTTTCTAATAACGGGAAGATAACACCAGTAGATGCAATCCTATGTTCATTGAGAGGAGAGTATAAATTTGAAAGTTCCTTCAACATTATTATACCAGTATGTGATTTTCTTTTCACTGCATGGTCCAGTAAGTATTGTCTACGTATTTCCTAATTGTCAGTGAGCGGCTGTCCTCTGAAGATAAAAGAGACATCATGGAAAGATAGATTTCGTACTCGATTTTTTGGCTTTTAATGCTAAGACGGTCCTTCCTCCTCCCACGGAAACCAAACAGCACTTGCCATCATCTAAGTAGTAATCTGTTTATAGAATTTAAGATATGGCTTGCCTTTCCTCTGCATTTAATTGTTCCCTGTGATGAGTGTAGTGTAATGTTTCTCCATTTTTTGGCTTCATTCGTCAAGGTAGTCTCGAACGTATTACACCAGAGTGCATGAAGAGTTTGTAACCTTACCCAAATCGGTCTGCCCTCGAAGGCATATGACACTATCTTTCCACTGAGTTCATTGTGCGGTGCCAACTTCCTTCAAAACGCAATTGACAAGTAGTCAGATTTTTTGAAAGCTATGTCTAGTTTCGTAACCACCGCATCGTGTAGTACCCTGCTGCCTTTTCGCGTAGCAGTACTGCTTTGTCAACTTCGGT